AAATATTAACAAAGAACGTATACTTTATTTTATAAAATCAAAATACCAAATTATAATTAAAAGTTTTAATTTTTAGAAAAGCAGAAACATAAGTGTGCATAAAAAAAACATGAAATAATAAGAAATATGGAAATTATATAAAATAGCAAACAAATTTCCTGATATGCACAATTTGTACCAGAAGATGCCACTCACTATTTTCTTCTCTCACCTAAGTTCATCATTTGGAAGGTTTTAAAAACCAAGTAGAGATTTTCAAAAAGTTTTTACATTCTGCTAAAGGTTTCCCCATTAACATTATCTTTAAATATAAAATTTTTTGTGAGTCAAAGAAGCCTTATTGTGGAAATACTTTTTATCGAACTTAAAGTTCGTTTAGCTTCATCTCTGTTAACACCAATAGTCTCCATAATAACTATACCTTCCTAGACACTATTAGGAATTTCATTATGCAGTTTTCATGTTAACCATCTCGATGAAAATCCCAAAATAATTTATTTATATTTTATGTTTTAATGTTTGTTAATGTTTAATGTTTAATGTAAGTTTAATGTTTGTTAAAGTATGGTTATAACATGCCAGACATGTGTTTTTTTCTGGAATAAATAATAAGCAAACAAAGAGAACATGGGGTTTGCAATTGCAAGACAAATTGAACAAAGGACTCATGTAAACTTCACACATGTTATCACTGAAGATATCACAATAGACTTTTTGTATCTCATTTAATGTTGCACAAACCTAATATTACTAATACTAAAAATAAGCTAAATAGATTTTACTTGTATCTATCTATCTATATATATATATATATATACAGTCAAAAGTCTTTAATCCGGACTCGTCGGGACTTCGGCGATTCCCGATTATCGGTTTTTCCGGATTATAGATCATCAATTTAAATCTGGTAAGATGGCATGCAGAAATTATAAAATTAAAAACATGAAACCGTAATTTATGAAATAAAGAGCAATTATGATCTAAAGAGTATCAAAATTTACAAAAAAAAAGCTTAATATATATTTGTTTACTTTATTAAACATTTCTTTCAACGCGCGCATGCGTAAAGTATACAATACGCATAGTCAAAATTAGATAATTGCAACCAGAAAACTCTTTGATGTGTATTCGTGATATTTATAATGACGAGGAATTTGATTTAAATCATATCAAAGACGGAGTACATCGAGATGAAATACTACATTTAGTAAGGAATTATAAGCCGAAAAAAATAAAAACATCTGCCCCGAAGATAAGGATAGTGCTGACAAATCAACTTCCAGTTCATTGCGCGCCGCGACGTTTCCCCACACCCCAGCAGAGCAGCGTGAAATTGATAAACAGATTTCGGAATGGTTAAAAAACAAAGGATATGCCTTTATCCAATTTTTGCAGCAATTCCACTTTTTGTTTGATGGACATCGAAACATGCTTTCGCTTTCTAGATCCGTTGGCAGCTCCAGCATCGGAAATCCTATTTGACATAATCGAAAGTTCAAGCTTACTTTTATGAAATTGCTCTAACAGTCTGCAAAAAATAATAAGCTGGATCCAATTCGAAGATTAAAGAACAACGCAATCTGCAACATTAACTGAAATAGATAATTAGATAATTTTAGCTTAGCTTATACCGTGCGTTTAATTAAATTAAACGCGCATGTGTAAACGCATATGCGCATGCGTAAAAGTATTATGCATATGCGTAAATGCATATGCGCATGCGTAAAAGTATTATGCATATGCGTAAATGCATATGCGCATGCGTGAACGCATGCGCAGAATGTTTGTAGCTTTGAGGTCCGAATTATAGATAATTCCGGATTATGGACGTCCGGATTAACGACTTTTGACTGTATGTATATATATTATCAAAGCTGTATTTGAAGAAACTGAAATGGAAAAGCTGATTTCCTCACACAGAAAGAGTAGCTTACTAAGTGCATTGGATTTCACGTTCTAAAGCTTTTGATATATTTAATTTGTAGATTTTTCATGCAGTCATTGCAATTATGTAACGGAAGAACTTGGAATGCTATTTGAACAAATCCACCTTTGATTCCCAAGTTCTCAAAAACATAGATGTCACAAAATTCAAAATTTTGGCACGTTAAAATTTTGACAGGTTGACTTTAAAGGTTAAAATAAACCAAAAAACCTTAGACTGATGCAAAGTTTGAATAATTCTTATCAATTTCGAAGGTTATCTGATATATGTTCTTCAAAAATCTAGGAATGAAAAACTTCTTGAATTTTTTAGTTTCCTGAAGAGGGACTTATATCAGTTAATTCTGAAAAATGACATAAGATTTTACGTTAAGCTGATATTTTTGCCTTACTTTAATTTTACATGGTTTTGTCAGTTAAAAATGACATACTTTTATCTGCTCTTGAATGACAGAAACATTAATTTTTTCTAAACCATGGGTTGTATAAAGTACTTTGGAAGTACATTTAAGCAGAATAAATATGTTTCACAGAAGATTCATAAGTATGTATTACAGAAATATAAATTCTAATTGCATTGGAAGTTTATAGATTTGAATTAAATACTTACAAATGTCTGATATGTGCATATTTGGTTATATGGTACCTATTCCCATACTACTTGATAAGAGTACTCTAGCTGATGTGTTTGTAAAATATCTACGAGACACATAACAATTTCACTGGCATTTCGTTCTCCACAGCCATAGTAATCTTGTTTGCAGATAAGGTATAATATTGGGTACAAATACTTCGATTTTCATTTACCATTTTATGAAGATCATCAGACCAGGTAAGCTGAGCAAAATGTGTCCAAAATCATATTTATTAGGATATAAACCTAGCTACCACTCATGGGCTCTTTTTTGGATAATTTTGAACATTATAAAGATCTTCACATTTTACACTCCTCATGTTATGCTACTGACATTTTTTCTAAAGATCTATTTGTTACATGCATTATCCTTCCCACATGTTATGTTTGTAAAAGTATTGCACCTAATCTTCTGTAAGAAAATATTGTTTTGGGAATCAAATATAAATCAAGTACTTTAACTGAACTGACATTCAAATGTAAAAATTGGAAGACTTTATTAATATATTTTGTACGTTTTTTATGTGTTGAAATCGGGAGAGAATTCCAGATTTTATTTGATACACAAAACAATTAAAAAAATTACATATTAACCTTTTCAAAAATACAGTATATTATATTTGAGATTTGTGCTATCAATTTATTCAATGTGTTACATTTCTTAAAAAACAAACATCACACAAAAATGCAATACATTTTAGAAAAAGTTAAATTATAATTTGTTAGTATCTAGGTACCTTCTGAAAAAAAGTATATAAGCTTGTGCAGTGGCGTAGCTAAGGTGGGGCAAGGAGGGACATCTGTCCCCGGGCGCAGCATCCAGGGGGCGCCAAATTGAGGGTACGAAATTTTAGAATAAAGTGTTTTACATTCGTGGGAAAGAGAAAGGGGCGCAAAATCTCCAGTTGTCCCCGGACGCTGAAAACCCTAGCTACGCCTCTGAGCTTGTATCTTGTATCTTTGTTGGCTAAATCTGGGTACCTAATATAAACAAACAAACAAACAAAAAAAAGGGGGGGAAAGAAAGAAACAGTGGCGACTCTGTTAGTGATAATGGCGCGCGGTTGGCGAGTACAATACAAGTTTACAGAGTCGCCACAATATCTTCTGCACAGGAAAACTTGAGAAAGCCTTTTTCACGTGCATTTTTTACTTTATAATAGAAAATTAAATGCTCTCTGTAATTTTCAGGAGTGCAAAATGAAGAGAAATGTCCAATTTAGCAAGTAATTCTTGCGATGCAACATTGTACATCATTTTTGCGAGGTCTGGCTAGAAATTTTATTATACATTTCACGTGAAAAGCCGCCGAATTCTCCATTTTCACTCCGTTGTCTTTCATAGAAACAAAAGTTAGAAAATTATTACAAATCAAAGCGAAAAAGACGTCATCAAAAGGTACGAAAAGTGGAATATGAGCAGAAAATAAATCCAAAACAAAACTTCAACTGCTGGCATAAAAATTGGTCGTAAAAAACAGTCTCTGGCGGTGGCTTATTCTGATTGGTTGAATTTCTTCAGTTTCCGGCGGGTTTTAGCCGCCCGTCTCCCCCTCAAGCTTGTTTACTTACCATTTTGCCATCACATCTAATTTAATTACGAATATCACTTTTATTTTATTATGAAAAGGTAAATCTTAGAACTACATATGTTTCTTCGTGTACGTTACACAAAGAAAATACTCAAACTCTTTGTTGAAGGCCATTCAAATAGACATTTCGATTATTCTACTTTTTATGCACGTTCAAAAACATTCTTTTACATGGAAATGAAGTCGAAAATGTAGACATTATTTCGCTGTAACAAGTCAGTGCCTTTTAAGCCTTTCACATCTTTGCATAGAAAATCATAAAACACACTGAGAACTTGAAACCAGCTGACGTTTTACCTCACTTCGCTTAGCAAGGTAATCATTTTCTTGCCCTCACAAGGCGTGGCTTATTTCCTTCACCCGGCTTCACTTTCTTCGTACCAAGGAGGTTAGAACAGAAGGAGTGAGGGTTCGCAGTTTCCTCCACTATCGGGGAATGAAACTCCTAAACTAAACTAAATAGGTTACATTAAATAACCTATTTTAAGTCCTCTTTTTTCACATCTGGAAAGAAAACCACATGACATTGTGATATTTTTGACATAGTTGTCATATTACATAAAAAAAAAAAAGAAAATTAAATACTTACGTGTGAAAAATAATGCCCGGAATTTTTTTCGAGAATCTATTTGTGCACCCATATGCAATACAAGCTGACATGCTTCAAAAAGAAAAGAAAAAAAATGTTGCAATGACAGACTTCCTTGCACAAGTCACGGTGATAACAGGAAGATGGCCGCTAAGCTTCACCATTTGAGTTGAACCTTCCCTCCTTCTATTCTAACCTCCTTGCTTCGTACTGCAATAGCAGAGACGCCATCTCCATGTATTCTAACCTCCTTGGCTCTGACGCTTTTAAAGCTGCAATATATGTGTTTTTACTGCTAAGAGTTACAATCTCATATTTGTTTTCCTAAATTGAAATTATGCTTAATATTAATTCGAACTTTTTTCCAAAAGGCAAAAAGACATAGCTTAACTGTCTTAGTAGCGTTTGTTTGTGTCGTTGTGAAGAATTGTGAACACAATCTGAAATCTGTGAATCCTGTGAAATCTATCTCTTATTTTTGGATTTTTATCGGATAAATTTTGATTTAGCTTCAGGTTTTTCCATATTAAAATATTGTTAATGGCGACGAATATACGGCAACAGTTAGCCGCTCTTGCAAGTTTAGGTGGGACACCGAAAGATCAAGCCGATCGGTAAATATACTTTTTTTCCGAAATTGTTTTTGCTAATAAACTAGCATGTTAATATAGTTAAATGTTTTTTTTAAAGATTTAGCGTAATAATATGGTTAATTGTTATCATAAAATATTTACCTTTTTTTTAAATAGGTACCGTAGTATTTTGGATACTATTGTAAAGAGTAATGACAGTAATGAGCTGATCGAAGGTCTTAAAGCATTTGTTGAAGCAAGTAAGCTGTTTTTATTTCCATATTTAAAATCTGGGATAAAAAATTTCTTTTTATCTATTCCCCCCCCCCAGAATTTTCGGTATTTATTTGTTTAATCGGTCACCGCATAAGCCGGTTGGGACATTTGAATTTGCATATTATAACTGATGTAATTAAATCTGCCGGTTTTGAGTACTAAGCACAAATGAATAGTAATGAATTGATTAATGGGTTAACTTCCGATTCATTGTAGTCAAACGAAACTGGCATAAAAAAAAAGCATTATGAGAAACAAATGTTTAAAACATAGGACTACAGGCAGCATCTTAACTGAAATAGCGAAAACTTTGGGCTATTGAGATTTTATAATAGTACTAAAAAAAAAACAGTATTAAATAACTTTGAAAGTATTGTAGGATAAATGTTTTAATTTAAGATTGAAATTTTTTCAAAAATAGGAAGAATGGGAATATGATATTGTAAGTGTTATTAATCTGCCTAATTAATAAGAAACAGGGTAGTTAGTGAATGAGAGATTCACAGTTTTTCTATATAGTTCATAGATATGTCAGCCAATGTTAGTAAGATCTGCGTTGTGTAAAAATTCTACAAAGGTTACTTAAATTATCATAGCTTTCAGGTGCTTTACCATGAAGAATAAACATCTACTGCCTGGTAACAAATATGTCAGCCAGTGTTGGAATGTCTGAGCTAGATGAAATGCCTAAAATATACATTAAAAAAATTCCAAATTCTTCCCTGAAGCTTAAAGAGACAGTTTTCAGGATGTTTTCCTGTGAAAATATTTGTCACCCCCTTTAGGGTTTGTTATTTCCTTTTTGTTTGCTCACAACAGGTCAATGTGTGAGAAATATTAGTTCAGTTTTTGCTTCAAGATTTTACAAATGAAGCCTTTCATGACAATGATTTGAATCATAAATTGATGAAATTTAAAAAAAAAAAAAAACAAAAAAAAAAAAAAAAAAAAAAAAAAAAAAAAAAATAAAAAAAAAAAAAAAAAAAAAAAAAAAAAACAAAAAAAAAAAAAAAAAAAAAAACAAAAAAAAAAAAAAAAAAAAAAAAAAAAAAAAAAAAAAAAAAAAAAAAAAAAAAAAAAAAAAAAAAAAAAAAAAAAAAAAAAAAAAAAAAAAAAAGATATTTTCTTAGTTTATGGGACTATTATGGCAGATGGTGAGGATATGGAAAAAAGTACTGAGAACTGTAGCAAGAATAATTGGACTTAAAATTTTCTGAATGGGAAGTATCCTTTTGATGGCACCAAAGTTTGCTTTTTCCTGAGTGCATTGTTCACCTTTTCCCTACTTTTCTAGAAATAACTGGTAAAAATATATTTATGGGTACCTCTTGGCGAAAATTTGTGATTTTTGGCGTTACATGGACATCGAGTTTGTGCAATTCTTTGACTTGTTATTTTGCCTTTGTGTAGCGGCTTTTTTTATGCCAAAATTAGCCCCTACACAAGCGGTTAACAAGAATTTTGAACTGATTTAACACTTTGGATGAGTTGCATCTTTCCATAACTGTTGGCTAATATTACACTTTGAAAAAAGGCCAGTGTTAATAATATTTTAAAAGATTTCCACTGAATTGTGAAATGCACCATTTTCGCAATCCACTGTCTTTGCTATGATAGTTGCATCCAAAAAAATTTCTCTCATATTTGAAATATAAGGTATATATAGGTACTAAATCCAAATAAAATGCATATTAAGGTTCCAGAAAATTAAAAACGTTTAAAAACATCAAACTTTCACTATGGTATTCATATAATTAACACGTAATAAAAGAGCTAACCCAACTTCAACACGACTTCAGCAAAACTTTCATATAACACACAACATGTACATATCTCTTTAAATTACATTATGTGTATTAATTTAGCAAATTTCAAGTTGTCTACCAGGTGCTAATCATCATGACAAATTGTCAAATAATTTAATTTGTGTGTCGCTTTAATTTGTGTGTTTGAGATTTGTTATCTATTATTTCTAAAATGTAAGGGTAAAAGTATATTTACGGTTATCCCTTGGCGATTTTTGGCGGCAAAAAGACAAAATAACAAGTCGAAGAACTGCACAAACTTGGTACCCATGTACACACTGACCTATTTTCACTTGAAAAAAATCACAGAATTGCACAAACTAGGCATTGCGCACTCCCTTGACTTTATCCATGTACACGTCAACCAATTTTCACTTTAAAAAAAATTGGAGAATTGCACAAACTTGGCATTGTGCACTCCCTTGACTTTGTCCATGTATATATTGATGTATTTTCACTTAAAAAGTCAAAGGAGCACCCAAATCTAGATAAAAATATTTATGGAACATTCAACTATACTTTATTTACCATAAATGAAACAACTTGGCAGTAAACGAAACAACAACTTGGCGATAAATGAAACAACAACTTTGTGATAAATGAAACAACAACTTCGTGATAAATGAAACAACAACTTCGTGATAATACAAGGGGTACCCTCGGTGGCATAGCTAGGATGGGGCAAGGGGTCTGTCCTCAGGTGCACCATCCAGACGCCGCCAAATTGATGCTACAAAATTTTTTAATGAAATGTTTTCCCTTCTTGCCACACAGAAAGAGGCGCAAATTCTTCTGTTGTCCCCAGGCGCTGGAATCCTAGCTACGCCACTATGCACCCTTTAGTCTACTCTAACCAATGTCAGTTATATAGTTAAAAGGCTTTTTTTTTTTTTTTTATTTTTTTTTTTAAGGGCTGTACATGTTAGTACAGTAAAAGTTCATCTATCCAGAAAGCTCGGGAAATGCCAAATGCCAGATAAGTGAAAATTCCAATAGTCGAGTGTATAAAAGTGTAATTCACAATAGAAAAGCAAATTAGAAGAAATTTCTGGTCTAAAATTATGAAATATAATTGGCTATCATCGTGAATATGAAAAGTTTTATCTAAAATTTATAATGTAGTTTACATATAACATACCTACCATTTTCCCTTACATATAACATACTGTGAAATCTTACTGTCTGATGTGTAACATTAAAGAATTTTAAATGAATTTTATGCATATTTTTACCTAAAGATGCTCTGTTTAATTTGCTTTTATTTAAAAATCCTTTGAATTTGTTCTAGTTATAATTTATCAGAAAAGAGTAATAATTTTGTTAAAAAACAAACAGAAGAGAGATTAATAATTAGACAGAATATAAGCTATTAGAAATTTAGTAATGTGATTTCAATCTTGTGTTATCAAATTTATCAGTGGGATTAAGGAAATTATCTTAATATTGAACTTGAAGTTATAAACAATTTTAGATTAATTTTTACAAATAGTCCACAAAACACAATACATATCAGTTAGTAAGTAGTGTTTAGAAATAAAAGAGGAGTAGGTAGAGTTTGATGAACTGAGCCTCTTTGAGAATGCAGATTTGATTTTTACAAAAATTACCGAGAGGTGTATTTGGTTCCACTGTTTCCATGGAGGTGAAGAGGAATTATTTATCTTTAGGTTAAAAATGACGGGATGCTTTTGCTTGCTCTTACAGAGGTTCTGCATCTGTCTCTTTTTACGATGAAAACTGATGAGGCAAGTGATATTTTTTTTGAATTCTTCTGTTCTGTTGTTTATTGAATAACCAATAAAACCAAACTGAAGAAAATTTTGTGTTGTGAAGTCATGCTTATCAGTTATTGACCCTGAATCACATTGTTTGGCAACTGTGCATCATACAATGGCTTAACAAGTTTCATATTTACTTATTTTTTCAAGGAAGGAGGAGTTTTTAAAAATTTTTTAATATTTTTTAAAAAAGTTAAAAAAGTTTTAAAAATATTCTGGTAAGTTTAATACAGGATAATTGGGCTTTTACTGTATAATACTACTATTCTCATTCCCATTATGAGATTTATGTTTACTGTATCATTCATTTGTTATTTCTTTAAGATTTTATAACCTTACATGCTGTTTATTTAACTTTAAGCAGTACTTGATAAAAAAAAAATTAAGGTAGAACTTTGAAAGATACATATAAAATATTCAGATATAAACAGATAATAAAGGGAAACATTTGCAAACCAGAATTTTTTGCTCTTTCTCTGAATTAATATTTAAAAAGTTTTTTAACAGGATCTTGACAGTAATTTTATACTTTATTTATATTTTTATTTTATTTTATTTTTTTCCAGTTGTTAATGAAAATGTAAGTTTAGTGATATCACGACAGCTTTTGACTGATGTTGGAAATAACTTAATGAAGTTGCCTGATGATGTTTCAAGAGTAGTATCTCATTACACTTTGGATAAAGTGCAGCCACGTGTTGTTTCTTTTGAAGAACAGGTTTGTGATATTATTTTCAAGATAACAGTTCCATTTCAAAAGACCATATGGTACTTTTCCGTTTTGCCGGCGCAAGCGATAAAGTCGCCAATAATGGTACAACCGATGTCAAACGGAATATTCTTGCTGGTAACCTTTTACGCCTCATTTTCAAAACAAGTCGCAGCTTTTTCTTATCAGATTGATTGTTTCTTTCAATACTGGCATATAATTACATAGAATTTTTATCAGATAGTTCAGTTTTATGTCTAAGGCCATTTTCGGTAATTAAGTCAATTAGGATGCAATCACAGCACTTACCCGAAGCCGAAAATATAGAAAAGGAAAGTCAAGGGTTAAATTCGTCAATTCTAATGAGAATGCATTAGTGAAGTAAAGCACTGCAGTTTTACATAATTTCTGAGTAAGCTAGCTATTCATACGCATTGAAATATTTCTTGCATTTAAACTTGTGTTCCAAATTAAGATTTAACTTGAAATTAATCTAGATAATTACTGAGAGCATTAGATTTTCGTAGAGTAGTTTACGTGAGATGAGATCGCTTGGGGTCACATGATATGAACCGACGAATTAGGATGTTGAACCATGAAAGCATAGTAAATTCTTAAATTGAAAGCATAGTAAATTCTTAAATTAATGTCTTTTTACAAATTTATTGTCTTTATTTATAGGCTTTTTATAAAGTTTTAAGCGATATTAACATGTTTATTCTTCAAAAGAAAAAAAAAAAAAATTCTTAGAACTAAAATTTTTTAAATATTTTTTATGTGTATACTGTATGTTGTCACCAATAAGTCTCGCCAAGTCTGCTTGGCGAAATTTGCGCCGGCGAAACGGAAAAGTACCGACCATATATATATATCTATAAACTTAAAGTATCCAAAATTAAATTGAAATCAAAACAAGGCCTGTTTTTGGCTTATTACTATGTTTTCCTTTATATATATATATGTAATTATTTATATAACATTTTGCAGTTATATGGTGATGTTCTACACTAATTAGTTTATACGGTACAACTCTAACATACGCCCTAATTTCACCAAATGTGGCGATATGTGTTCTGCGCTGGTTTTTGGCGCGATTGCGTGTTCTATGGCAACCCTGTTGACGTTGAAAAATCTTTCGCTAGAGCTCGTTGGTTCATCTCTTTGTCTGAGAAGATGGGAGGGAAAGATAAAATGGTAGTTGTTGAATTGAAGTTCGACAAAAGGAAATATGATTGTTTCTATTCTGTTGAGGGGTAGTGGGTATTTGGAACTGTGGAAAGAGGGTCTGGCAGATTATTTTTAATGGCAGTGCATGATAGAAGTAGGGATTTGTGATTTTATTTATTTGTGAACCATAGTATAAATTTTCTGGATAGTGTGTCTGGCTGTCATGTAAATACGATAGTGATTACGTGGCGGCATGTTAAAGGCGGTATGAAATTAATATTTCTGCTATTCGAAAACACATTAATTCATGGTAAGTGCATTTATTTTATCCTTGTTCTTATTTTGTAGAATGTTATGCTTCATTGGTTTTTTTACTATAAATTTATGTCGTTATTGTTGTTTTTTGAATTGTTTTGTAATTTATTTTAGTTTATTTTGTTGATTTGTGCGCAATGTCTAGATTGTGCAATTCGTAGATGTTTTTTTAAGTTTTAAACAGAACGGTTGTGTACATGGTATTCTTTGAAATTTATTCTTGTTATGTTATTTTATTTATTAAAGGGAGGTGTGCGTAGTTCGTAGATTCCTTTGTTGGCTATATTGTGCAATTCGTAGAATTTTTTTAAAGTTTAAACAGGATGCTGTGTACATGGTATTCTTTGAAATTTATTGTTGTTATGTTAATTTATTAAAGTGAGGTCTGCGTAGTTTGTAGATTCGTTCGTTGCCTACATTGTGCAATTCACAGATGTTTTTTTAATTTAAAACATGTCGCTGTGTACATGGTTTCTTGTCAAATATTTTTGGTTAGAAACTTTACGTTTTTGCTATCTAAATTTTTTGTTTTTGTTTCGGATTTTTAGCTAAATTGCGTGTTCAAAACGTAGTTTTTGCATGTGCGAAAACCACGTTTTTGGAGACATTTTAGGCTAAAAGTTCAAAATGTAGACAAAAAATTTAGATAGTAATATGGCAGCGTGAAGTTTCTCGCCAAAAATATTTGGTGACTTGAGGGCGCATATCAGAGTAGTTCCGTTTATACAATTTTCAATCGTTTTTTTTCTTTGTATTTATTTTTGGTAGACTATTTAACTTGAGTCATATGACTAATAATGTTTGATGTTCCTTATATCATCATAATTTTGATATTTTTAATGCAAATAACTGAAATTATAAATGTTTTCCTAAAATTCATGTTATAAACATGTGAAATGTTATAAACATATCCTATTATATTTACACTTGTTTTGGGCAAAATTCTTCACTGAGGTTTTATCGCTGTGTAAAACATTGTTCTCGTTTTAAATTTAAACTTGTTTAGATGTATTTAATTTGATCTTTTGCCTTTCTCTTATAATTTTATAGCTAATTATTTTTGTAAATACAACAGTACAAAGTCTGAAATCTGGACTCGTCGGGACTTCGGCGATTCTGGATTTGGGATTTTTTCGGATATTAGATCATCAATTTAAATCTGGTAAGATGGCATGCAGAAATTATACAATTAAAACTATGAATTTGTAATTTATGAAATAAAGAACAATTGTGATTTAAAGGGTATCAAAATTTACAAAAAAAAAAAAAAAAAAAGCTTAATATTTATTTGTTTACTTTATTAAACATTTCTTTCAATGTAAGTTGTTTAAGTTGTTTCCACAAAAAATTCAAAAAGTTCCTTTCTTCTTATGTCATATACAATCAATTTTCTAATGCCATACTCTTCACATAATTTTGAGACGGATATGCCTTTATCCATTTTTTGCAGCAATTCCACTTTTTGTTTACTAGACATCGAAACATTGTTTCGCTTTTACTTATCCTTAGGCTGCCCCAGAATTGAAAACTCTTTTTGACATAATCGGAAGTTCAAGCTTAATTTTTATAAAATTGCCGTAATAATAACAGTCAGCAAAAAATAATAAGCTGGATCAAATTAGAAAATTAGGTAGCAGCACAGTCTGCTACATTAACTGAAATTCATTTAGAATCAGCAAAGATAATTTTAGCCTAGCTTAATAGCATTCGTTATACATTATTGGCTGTGTATCACAAGATTGGCAACAAAAGCCAAGTTGTTTCGCTAAATTTTGTTTTGCTCCTATTGCGTACTGAATTAAGCCTGAATTGCATTAGTTCAGTTGTATCTCATACATAAAAACCATGCTATAGCCAATTTCTTGCATCTTTCTAAGTGATACAATTTCATGTTTTAAACTATCTGTCATCATCCCCTTGACAGCAAATTGCAATTTAAACTTTTCATCGTAGACACAAGAAGTCATTTAAAAAGCTAACCTAAAGGTCAGGAATTTTGATTTGTTGTAATTTCGTCCTCCACAAATAGTGTATAATGTGGGGAAAGGCAACGACCATAGTTGATAACACACATTTATTACTTATTTACAAATATAGATTACATTAGGATTACAATTAATGAAAATGGTATACGAGCGATCGAGCGACGTCTGCTCCGCTCGCCAGCTAATCCTCGTCTTCTTCCAAAGGCGGGAAACACATGCTGACGCAATGCATACGTCACACAGTAGGGGATTAGGGAATATCATGACATAACATTTCCCACATTCGGCCATCATGACCGGACAGGCGACCTCGCCTGAAGCAACATAGTATATCATCAAATTTAAAAAAAAATTATTATAATATAGTAACATAGGTATGAAAAAAAAATAATCTGTAGATACAAAGCTGAGGATACTTACACAAATGGAGGAAAAAAAAAAAAAAAAAAAAAAGATTAAAAGATTAAACACACTACAGCAGTTATTCAGCACAAGTGGATGTTTTGGATGGTTCGTCGAAAAAGGCACACATTTCCACATCATATGTGTCATTTTGTTTGAGCTTGATGACTTTGTAAGGTCCGAGAAATTTCTGTTTGAGTTTTAGACCAGGGCCAAACTGAATTCGTTTGATTGCCACGAGGTCATGAAGTTGAAATTTTTGTGCCTGTTTTCGTCGCAAATTATAAGTACGGCGATTTTCGTCTTGCACTTTAGAGATTTGCTGTTTTGCGTCCTTACGGAGATCGTCACGTTGCTGAATGAATGCAGATTTGATCTCCTCGTCGATTAGAGCAGCGATGTTTATGTCGTTTTGCGATTTCATTTTAGTCCCAAAGAGAAGTTCAAAGGGAGTGGAATTGATGCTACGTTGAAAAGTTGAATTAATAATTTGTTGCACGGCGGGAACATGGCGGTACCATTGCTCAGGGTTGGTTATGGAGAGTTTAGAAAGGACAGCAATAATAATGGAGTTCAAACGCTCAACTTGACCGTTCGATCGTGGGAGGCCAGCTGTAATAAGAACGTGCTTTATTCTCTGTGTGTCACAATAGTTTGCAAATGCAGTGGATTTGAATGCAGGGCCTCGATCAGAGATAATCCGTGAAGGATTTCCGAAGACTGATCTTTGAGATTCCAGCCGACTGATAACTTCATCTGCGTCTGTAGACTTTGTCGGATAAAGCCACACGAATTTAGTAAACGAGTCTATAACTGCCAAAATATGTTTGTATTTCTTTGATGTGGTGGCAAGGGGACCTAAGTGGTCGATATGGTACGTGTGCAAGGGTGCGTCGTCTTTGTCAATGGGGTGCAGAAGTCCGTCTTGTTTGCCACGCTTTCGATTATTGAGGATGCATGGGATGCAGTTATGGATACACCGCTCAATTTTTTTCTTTCAGATTTGGGATAAAATATTCGTTTTTTAAAAGTTCTTGAGTGCGGATTACGGCGAAGTGGCCTCGTTCGTGAGCTGTTTTAATGACATTTGCCTGCATATTCAGGCAACAAGTAAGCATGCCGTTTGACTTTCTGGGAATT